CTTTGATGACTCCTGGAAAATGGAAGAAATATTATTATTATGCCTTTTTGATCTCTGACGACCACATGATCAATAATTAAACACGCGAAAGATATTAATAATAATAATAATAATAATAATAATAATAATAATAATAATAATAATAATAACAATAATAATAACATTCTCAAGTATTGCAAAGTATTCCCAGTGAACAGAAAACTCTTTGATGACTCCTGGAAAATGGAAGAAATATTATTATTATGCCTTTTTGATCTCTGACGACCACATGATCAATAATTAAACACGCGAAAGATATAGGCACTCTGACAAAATGTATCGTTGTCACGCTTATCACTGAGGGGTCAGAAAGAGTCATAAGTAACAAGGTTTAATTAGACTGACTAATTAAAGGAGAGACAACCACTTTAGAAGAGTGTAGTAGTGTTGCTGTGCTTGTCTCTGATGCGTCAGAAGATCATGCAGAAAAATGTAACAACGATCGTGTCATCAGACAAGAACTGTACAGAGCAGATCGGCTGAATCACTTAATGAACTCACTTTTTATTGTTTTTGTTATCGCCAAACACTTCAAAAGGAGCAAAACCACATGAGAGCACATGTCAAGCACCTAATTAAACATTTCACAGATTCAGTTTTTCACCGTTGCTCGCAGAAGACGTGAGTTTGATTCTGAGAGTGGAAACGTCTTTTTAAAAATGTTTTTAAGACGTTATACCTCATTCAGCGTGGGTTGGCCCAAGCGGGCAGAGCCCAAGTAGCCGCTTTCAACATTACGTCTTTTTGGGGTTAAGGGTAGGTGGCTGTTAACATTTCTAACTTTGTTATTAACACATACAAGCATCATTCAGAGTGATCATAAAACACTCCAGGAGTTCAAAATGAAATTCAAATAGCAAAATATAATCTTTTTTTAAGGAATTTGAAAATATTTCATGTTTTTGGGGTACAGAAGCAATTTTGACTCAATCCGGCCCGCGCTCTCGTTTAATCAGTTTATTGACTAAAGTGCTTATATTTTCCCATAAGCACACTAACAATAAAATCTGTGATCCTAAATGGCCTTGTTTTGATACTTGAAACCTCTAAAGAGATATTGAGGATAACGTCATAGCTACTGCTTGACTCTGTTAATTTTCGCATTTTCCCATCAACTGAAGCACCTGAAACTGCATTTTTCAAAATCGGTGAGAGATATATGAAAAAGCACCTTTAAGATTACAGAAAATTCATTTTTACATAGTTAGGCCAAATATAAAAGAAATCCTCCACTTGAGTTTTAAATGAGAGTCCGGGCCGCAACCCATACCCCTTAATTTTTGTCGTTTTGAGAAAACTTGAAAAAACGTACAGATTTTGTTATAACTTTCTAACCAAAACAGGTAGGAGCATGAATTGAATTGTATAAAGACAATTAATCATTTCTCAATGTACCCAATTCTTTTATATTTAATTTTAAGAAAAATGTCACCCCAAAATACAGTAGGTAGTCATGCAACAGAGAGGTCAATTTAGTGGTAATATTAACTGAAAAGAAGAAAAATATAGAGAAATTTGTCAAAAACATGCAACTCCAGGTTACCAAAAGAGGAAAACACAGCCATAAATTGCAGAATGACTTCTTTATTCCTAATCAGTCCCTCTTCCTGGGCAGTAGAGACGTCTGCTGGTCCAATTTTCCTCCTCTAAAAGATGGTTCCTTTCCTGTTTTTCTAAGCTACACCCTCTATGGCAGTCTCTGCCCTCTATGTTTTGGTACAGTCCCTTCTGATGCCACTGTCCATGGTTCGGGCTGAGACCTGCAATTTTAGAAACGGCATAAACGTCTGGGTGCTAAGGGCCCCCAAATTCCAGTCAGCAGTAGTGATAGCAAAAGCTGCTTCTACTCTTGGTTTGGTCACACAGACCGTCTTAGGGCCCTTCAACCAGGTGTGAACTTATGGAAACTCCCATTCTATTTTTTTGTCACGCCAGGCACATACTTGATCTCCATTAGCTCATCTGTGGTGCACAGGCTTCATAAATGAGGGGGTTGGAGGTGGGTAGAAAGCCTTTCCTTGTGTGATGGTGCTGTGCTTCCTTGGCTGTAATGCCTTTTGTAAAAGTACAGTATAACACTGATAGCTCGAATTCGTTGCAACTGGCCTCGGTAGTTCGAGGCATCCGTAGTTCTAGGGATCTGTAGTTCAAAGGATATCTTTAAAAGATAAAGAAGTAAAAAAAACGGGACTGCAGGCACAGTTCTCCTGATGCATGCGTGATTTTGGGTCTTCTGTGTTTGACCTGTCTGTGTAATACTGTAAAAGCACAAGTTGTTTTCACTTGTAGGTGGGCATCTGTCATGATGTGGGTCTCCATCTGTGCTGGTGCTGTGAAGCAACGTGGCCACAACTGCTTCTTACATTAGCAGTGGAAAGAGTTGAACGACCCCAGAGGTTTTGTGTAATAGGACTGGAGACATCCGATCTCCTCCTGGTTGAAAAGAATAGAAGAGAAAAAAACCCTAGAAAAAACCCATAAGAATAAGGATTTAAGTGTTGTTATTATCATCTGCAGACAGAAGCTGGCAACGCATTCAATGGCAAAATTGTAATTGCAGACTAAAAACCCATTTAACACTCTATGCAGATGCCAAGCACAAGAATTCAGCTGATAAGAGTCCAATTTCATTTATAATAAAAAATAAAAAAGGACAAGAAAGCAGAATATTCAAACCCTGCAAAACTGCCACCCTATTATACTAGTCCAGCTTTCCACCAGGTTTTGCCAATGCACGAAAAGGAATGACTTTATAAACATAGGCTACTATTTGCCCCCTACCTGAAATGTAGCCTACTAATGTTAATTTTCCCCAAAACCCCTTCGCTCTTGGCCACCAGAGGTGCTGCGTGCACAGTCTATACAATGCACACTACACACCAGCGACTCAGCAACTGTGTACACCTAGCCTAGGGCCTAGTGATAATATCCCTTTCTACACTGACACACTTCTCTGAGTCTAAGAGTAAGTGAATGCATGAAGCACTTCGAGACTATAAGACGATGGGCATTAACCCCTTCATTACACAGGGTCAGTTTGTGCTCAGAATTTATTTTTATTTCCCCGTCAACGTAAACAATTCTATCACAAGGGGAAATAAGCAAACGCTATAATAATTCTCTCCCTTTCAACAAATTTATTGAATTCTAATAAACGTGGAAAAATGATATCAATAGGACGATATGAGACCAGGTCTTTTCATAGAAACTTTGAGGTTGTCAAGTATTAACAAATGGCTTAACATTTGTTGCCGACAGTCGTCAGTTATAATTAATCTCTGGTGATAAGGCATGATGGCGGCAATCTGGACAACCCATGGTACAATGGTGGTAGCTGTGTACATAAGTAGGGAGGTCGGCAGTAGTAAGAAGTATGGGGATTG